GGAGAGAGAGATACATAAACAGACACACAGAGAGTGAGTGAGAGGAAGGCAGGGGAGAAAGAAAGAAAGAGAATGATAAATATTTAGAGAGAGAGAGGGGGGAGACAGAGAGAGAGAGAGAGAGAGAAAGAAAGAGAGGTGGATAGAGAGAGCGAGAGAGAGAGCGAGCGAGAGAGAGAGAGAGAGAGAGAGAGAGAGAGAGAGAGCAAGAAAAAAAGAAAGAAATCCCCACCTCCAACACTTTGGCCAGTCGTCGACTGAGATCACTGATGAACGTGTCCGGAAGTGGCTCATTCATGGTGATGCAGATTCCCCTCTCCTTCGCCTTCTCGGACAAGATTTGAGAGGCAGTCCTGCCGTAGACGTCGTTCTCATACACCACCACCACAAAAGTCCACTCCAGTTGTTGGAGGATGTCCGCGATCAGCTGAGGGGAGTGCCAGAAATGATTAATGATATTGCTATTGATTTTTTTTTCGTAAGAGTTTTATGGCACTTGCAACACAATAAGGTCATATAAGTGCCGAAGATTAGAGGTGTTACCAGAGAGTAACAAACACAAAAAGAAAGAATGGAAATAAAGATATTAGATGTTTGATAGGAAAGAAGGAGCAAATCATACAAGAGCACCTGCCAACCACCCACAATGCAATTGATGGAGTTTCAGAAAAGTAAATGGTGTAACTAAGTCACATGTTGCTAAAAGTATAGTTCTATGTATAACGATACATTTTAGCAGGAGACTACACAAAATATAATACAATTTTGTAATACAATTGATTTGAATGAGAAAAATATTGGGTCTTAGCAAAACTAAGTTTTTGGTCTATGTCACATTTTGTTTTCTAAACATAGATATATATATAGACGGAAGAAGACAAGACGGGACAACTCTTCTTAACGTCATGTGACAAGCGCAGGCCCCTCCCATTTTTGCTGCTGCGCGTATAACTCGCTGGACTGGCGGTAGTTTACATTGGTTACAATGCAAGGCTACTGATAATCTCGTGCGGTATGTCTAGCCAAGGCCTACTAAAATTAATATATTTCAGCCCTGAGAGAGAGAGAGAGAGAGAGAGAGAGAGAGAGAGAGAGAGAGAGAGAGAGAGAGAGAGAGAGAGAGAGAGAGAGAGAGAGAGAGAGAGAGAGAGAGTATTTAATGAATAAACGTAGCCTATCTAAATATACAGAGTCTAGATTTTGTTTTGCACCCAGCTAAGAGTGTGCAATTCGGAAAGCAGATCTAGATCTAGATCTAGGCCCCTAAGTGGTTGGCGAATGACCGAAGGTCGACTCTTGACTAGCGGTATGTCTATGAATTGGCGGAGACACTCTAGATCTATATCATGAAACTTGATTCATACTATCCAACAGTAGATAGATTAAGCTTCTGTGCTTGTTTCAATGGCTTCTTTTTTGGTGCACTTGTACAATTGTAGTCCCGTTTGATGTTTAAATGACAGCCATTATTGTCATGTGGGAGTGAATCTAGATCTAGATCTAGATCTAAATCTAGATATCTCTAGATTCTATCTAGATCTAGATAGCCGAGATGCATACGCAATCTATTTCCAGATCTAGATCTATAATTTTAATTCAGTTTTGATCTAGATCTAGATCTAGATTCTAGATATCTATAATCTATGCCTGAATCTAAATAAGAAACACGTAAAAATTACTACAGGGTCACTTAGGCCTTGAGCGATTTAGTGCAAACGGGACCGCTATTGTACAGGCGTGCCATTGTTTCCCGGCAAGCGCTATTTGCAACTCCGCGTTCTGAATAGCTCCAGTGCTATTTGAAACGCCAGTACTAGAATTAGATCTAGATGTAGTAGCCATCGTTTCTACATGATAATACTGAAGTTCTGCCTGAATTGTGGAAGCTTTCTCAGTTTTTTTATAAACCTCCTAGGATTTGACTCCTTTTTTTATGACGTTGTCTTATTCCGATCAAGATTAGATCTAATCTAACCATTGTTTCTGACATTGTTTGCACAAAAGTAGAAGTCTTGTTCATCTCTCATAATCATAATCATTTGAGTTAGAGTTTGAGCAAGTTTAAGTCGAAAGACGCTTGGATAACAATAACAAGACTGTGCAACTCGAACTTTAAGTTAGGCCTTGCAAATAAGCACTTCTTTGTTTCCTAGCTTCCGTTCTTGATCATTGATTCTGACATAGGGGAACAGCTCGCTGTGTAGTTAATCTAGATCTAGATCTAGATCTAGTCAACAGTTAGACTGCTGGACTCTAGCGGTGGCCGTATCTTTAGTTTAAAAAATATTCAATCTATTGTATATTCTGTAGGACAACAGTTCGTTGCAGAACACCACTGGCTGTTCTGTCGTTTTTAAACTGGAAGATCTAATCTACTTCTACGTTTCGTAAACTCCTAGATCTACATCATCATGTTCAACCCACTACCGCTTTCCGTTCATAAAAACCTTAAATTTCTCAACTCACTATATTCAAAATGAGAACAAAAACAAGTCAAAATAAATGCCAAACAGTTTATATGAAAAAACAAAAACAAAGGCAAAACTGCCACTATGAAATTCAAAGTAGGCAGCTGTTTCAGCGAGTTGAACAGTGTGCTCTTTCTTTCTGTCGTTTGTTTACGCTTTAAACGCGCAGCTAGCTGGTTACCAAGGGGAGCCAGTTGGAACGAAAATGAGGCTGTTGTCCCGTCTTGTCTTACCAAAGATAGTAAATAACAAGATGGGCCACTCAGCCAAAAAAGTGTCCGCAGGAAGTATGCTCTTTACTTCAGATGGCGCTGCAGTCTGTTTTGAAGCTCTCTTTCGTTTTT